ATGTGAGAAGATATGAAAATCTTTACATTTTTGATTCTTCCCTCATTTTTTCACTTTATTGTTTAATATATATATTCTCTCTCTCTCTCCATCCATCCCTTCACGTGTCAAACCTCCTCCTCCCTTTTTCACCTCCTCTGCTCCCTGGCTCCTCCCTGAAGAACAGGCCGCTCTGACCTGTATCTGTCTGCCGTGGAAGAGTCCCAGGTTTGGTTTAAACGCCCCAATTATCCTCCTGAATTATGATGTTCTATTTGGGGGCTGCGTTTCTCCATCTCTGTGGCTCTTCTTATGAAGGTTGGCTCTGAACGACTGATCCATTTACAGAAGCCAGATTTAGGGCACTTTTACCCAGCATGCTCTGTGAGTGCACCTGGCTGAACACAGAAATCATGTGGCACGTTCTGAGATCCAGCTTTGTGTTGGAGCAAACCAAAAATAATGTTAACTCCTCCAGTTTGGTGCAACATGAAATAAATCAAACATATTTCTCCCGTCTTTATGGTGACTTTAGGTGGATTTTAAAAAGTTTAGTTATTTTTACTGGTGGAAACAATAAAACAGATAATGGTCTAAATTTTTTAAAAAGCTGCTCCAAGTTAATTTGTTTTGCAAAATTTGATGGGAAAAACACAAAGCCAGAAAAAAAATTGTGGCCATTTGATAATAAAGCATTGGGGACAAATAATGTGTGGACACAAGATAAGTAATGGTGTGGTTATGCATTATTTATCTTGTGGCCATGCAGTAATAATTCGTAGCTATGGGGTAAATAATGCATGGCCACCGAGTCAATAACTTCATGACCACGTGATAGTATTTCATGATCACAGGATAAATATCACAGGGCCATGGGATAAATGTGTAACCACAAGATAAATAACTCGTGACCACAGGATAAATAACTTGTGGCCATTCGATAATAGCATGTCCACAGGTTAACTTGTGACCAAATGATAATATTGCATGGCCACATAAATACCACAGGGCCATGGGATCAATGTGTGACCACAAGATAAACAATGCATAGCCACAGAATAAATAATSTGTGGCCACAAGATAAGTAATGGTGTGGTTATGCATTATTTATCTTGTGGCCATGCAGTAATAATTCGTAGCTATGGGGTAAATAATGGATGACCACATGTCAATAACTTTATGACCACGTGATAGTATTTCATGATCACAGGATAAATATCACAGGGCCATGGGATAAATGTGTAACCACAAGATAAATAACTTGTGACCGCAGGATAAATAACTCATAGCCATTCGATAATAACAGCATATCCACAGGTTAAATTGTGACCACATGATAATATTGCATGGCCACATAAATACCACAGGGCCATGGGATAAATGTGTGACCACAACATAAACAACGCACAACCACAGAATAAATAATGTGTGGCCACAAGATAAGTAATGGTGTGGTTATGCATTATTTATCTTGTGGCCATGCAGTAATAATGTGTAGCTATGGGGTAAATAATGCATGGCCACCGAGTCAATAACTTCATGACCATGTGATAGTATTTCATGATCACAGGATAAATACCACAGGGCCATGGGATAAATGTGTAACCACAAGATAAATAACTTGTGACCACAGGATAAATAACTCAGTCATTTGATAATAACAGCATTTCCACAGGTTAACTTGTGACCACATTATAATATTACATGGCCACATAAATACCACAGGGCCATAGGATCAATGTGTGACCACAAGATAAATAGTGCAAGGCCACAGGACAAATAATGTGTGGCCACAAGATAAATAACTTG